TTACACACAGACGCTTTTACACACAGACGCTTTTACACACAGACGCTTTGACACACAGACGCTTTGACACACAGACGCTTTTACACACAGACGCTTTTACACACAGACGCTTTTACACACAGAAGCTTTTACACACAAGTAAAATCGCAATTTTTCCTCAGTTTTTGACGATCGACCCTCATTTCGTGCGAAAGGGTTGCTCCCCAGAGTACGCCTTATTGAAAAGATTCAATAAAGTTATTGGTTTGTCATGCCATTATTGAAATAGTGTTTTTATTGAAACAAACCAATAATATTATTGGTTTGTGTTTCAATAAAATTATTGGTTTGTTTCAATAACTTTATTGGTTTGTTTCAATAAGGGTTATTGGTTTGTTTCAATAACTTTACTAGTTTGTTTCAATAGTTTCAATAAGGGTGTTTGTGCTGTTTCACAGAAAGTTTTAGGTTTAGACCCCATTCCAATCCACTAATCATGAATGGAACCTACAACCCATCCACAAGTATATATTTATATTTGTGTTTCACTCATGTTCAATTCCACCAGCAGCCTTTCAACTCACAAGCTATAGGGGCAAGCTTGGGCAAGGTCACTGCCCAACTGTCCCCTGCAAAAGGGTATTTGGCTTTTGGTCCTGCAAAAGGGCTTTTTTTTGGTCCTGCAAAAGGGCAATTTCTAAGAGCCATGGCCACAGAGATTGACCCCTTGGACATGCTCATCAGGCCTCCTCGCAACAGCTTTGAAGAGGTGGATGCCTACTGGTCCTACCTGGAGTGCACAACACCTCACTGTGGTGGATGGCTGTGGAGGAGGCACTTGGCAGATGCCACATGGGGTTTGAAGTGCTACCACTGCAATGCTTCTTGGAGGGAAGCATACTTGCAGTTTGGGTTCAGTCACTGGAACCCAGTGGCCAAAAGAAGGACCAGGCTGGGAGATACTGTGGACACAAGAAGGTGACCACTTGCAAAAAGACAGTGCCACCTTAAGGTCTTGCAAAAGGGCTGAAGCCAATGGTCCTGCAAAAGGGCTGAAGCAAAAGGTCTTAAAAATGACCATACACATGGAGAAGACACCAATGAAGGAGAAAAAATGGAGAGCAGTGGGGATGTATGGTGTTGCAGGCTGCTTCTTTTGCCATGGGCTTGGCAGATGCAAATGTGTTTGCAGCATGTCCTATAAACTTGAATCTCTCTGTTGCAGTTATGCTCAATCTCAGCAGCTTCAAAGCCTTGCCTGTTGGAAGATTGGCCCTGCAAAGAGGGCTATCTGCAGCTGGCCCTGCAAAGAGGGCTGCCCATGTCCCTCATGAAACCTGGGAGGAAAAGAAGGAAAGGTGCAGGAAATTCACAACCTGCTAAGAGGGTCCCATTCCCTGAGTTAAGCCAGCAAAAACTGGATGACAAACTTTATGCTTATACTCGGGCAATGGGGATCAAAGAAGCCTTGAATTTGCATGAATATTTGAGGCTGGAGCCACAACAGGCAGAATCTTGCAGGAGCCTGTGCAAGCTCAGCAAGCTCTTGACTGCCCTGGTGGAGGTGTCACCTTCTGCAAAGGTGAAGTGCAGGTACCTGAAGCACAGCATGGTGTACTTGCAGCAGACATGGGGCTGTGAGCTGCTGTCTGCACACTGGACATGTGAGAAGGGCTTGCTGGCAGGGAGGGCAGCAGATGCACTGCTTGTGGTTCTAAACCACTGGAGAAGGTGCACTGCTTCCCCCACAGCATGGCAAAGGTTTTGCTCCAAGCTGGATGAAAGCCAATGCCAGCTGATGGAGCAGGTGAAAAAGAAGATGGTGATTGAGAAGCCAAAGAGAAAGCTGCTGCCAAATGTGTCAGATGTGAGCATGGACTCCAAGGGCTTCCCAGCCATGACAGCCCATGGAAAAGAGGAGGAGGAGGAGTCAGAAGAAGAAGAAGAGGAATATGATGAGACAGAGAAGGAAGATGAGGATGAGAAGGAGGCTGTGACAAAGAAGGCCAAAAAAAGCGACCTGGATGCCATGGAAAGTTCCCCACCACATGTGGTGAAAAAGGACTGGAGAGCTGCAGCAGGCTGCAACATAAAGAAGCCTGCCTCCAAGCTGGTGGGCAAGAAGAAGGGGAAGGTGAGTGTTGCAGGCCTTGCAAAAGGGCCTAAAGCAAAGACAGGCCCTGGAAAAGGGCCTAGCAAGTGCAAGGGCACTGAAAAAGTGCTCATTCACCAGGCTAGCCTTTCCATTGGAGGGGGCAAAAACCAAGCCTACATACAACATGTCCCTGGGCCAGGAGACAGCAAGAGATTAATCATAGGGATCACAAAGCTTCAGGCTAGCAACACAACCAAGACACACAAGGAATTGGTGGAACTTTTGCTCCCTGCCTGCAAGAAGGCAAAGGCCACAAAGGCTGATGTAGTTGCTGAGAGGGCAAAGCTCCTCAGCAAGTTTGCCAAGTAGGTCCTGCAGCTGTCTGCAGTTGGGCCTTGCAAAAGGGCTTAGACAGAGAACTGCTGTGTCCCAGCAAAAAAATGCCAAGCTGGAGCATGTTACTTGTGGGATTGTGGGGGGACCAAGCAGCACCAGTGTGAATCCAACACAGCTACACAAACTGCAATCTGAAGTGTATGGCCCAAGTCATCGCCTTAGTCTTGTGCTGGGCCCTGCAGGGGCCTGGCTTCTGCACACAGCAACTGGGCCTTGTACAAGGGCTCCCACTACAGGCCTTGGAAAGGGGCTTGGACTTGGAAGGTCCTGCAAAAGGGCTGGCAATGGAACCAAAAGAGGAGCCAGACTGGGAGGCTGAGCAAGTTCCAAGAAGGAACAGGAAGTCTTGGGCTGACCTGGCTGCAGAAGAAAAGAAGGAGCCTGCCAAAAAGGATGGCAAGCATGAGCAGAAAAATGAATGGTGGGAGGATGACTGGAAAAAAGGTTGTAAAAAGTGGGATGACTGGTGGGAAGAAAAAGAGGAGCAATGGCAAGCATGGTCCAAAAACAAGAGGTGGGAACCAGATGGTGAGGATACAGAAGAGGAGGAAGTGCCTTCCAGCAGCACCCAGAAGAAAAACAAATGTGGCTCACAGAAAGAAAGGGCCAAGAGAAGGTGGCTCATGAAAACCTGCAAGAATGAGAGCCAAGAGGAAAAGGAGAAGCTGAAGCTGGGTGCCTTGGGAGCATGCAGGCTGAAAAGGCTCCTGGACAGGCAAGAAGACAGGAAAAACAAGCTGGAAGCAGCCCAGCTGGCACAGGCAGCAGCAGCAAATGCTGCAGCTGCTGCCCAAGCTGCCCAGGCTGCAGCTGCATCTGCCCAATGGCAACAATGGCAGATGCAGCAGGCCCAGCTGGTGGAAGCCCAAGCCATGTGGCACCACCATGCCTACTACCAAGGTCAAGGTGGCCAGCCACACCAATGGGGCTGGCACCACCAGACCATGGAGCAGCCTGTGGAGCAGCCCAAGCAGCCAAAGCCACACAGGCAACAGCCAGGACTGGTGTGTACACATTCTTGATTTTTTGCAACCCTACTCCTTTCCACATGTTTGCTGGCTATGTCTTTGTGGCATTACAGGACCAGTGGCCACTGGCAGTGCTGCAGCTGGTGCTGGTGCAAAAGGAGGAGGGGGGCCACCACAGCATCCAAACACCTCTATATAGAAATTAATTTCTCATGCATGTCACTATGGCAATTTCATAGGTGCATCTACATACATCATTGGGCCTTTGAATTTGTGATGCTGCACACACTTCTATGGACACCAACCACAGCCAACATATTTGTTTGGCACCTGCCATTTGGGGCACCCATGCATTCTGTCAGCCACAGCCAACATTTGGAATTTAACCACTGTAAATGCACCATATGTGTTCATAAGTGCAGTTCTTGGTATGCCACACACACACTACAGTAAAATGTTTGGATATGTTGTAGCATCACCCTTCTCACCATCTTCACTATTTTCACCCAATTTCCTCCTGGCAACCTTGCCAGGATCCCAGGGGCCAGCCCCAGCACAGCCTGGGAGAAAAGGCCAAGGCAAGACTGCCAGGCCAAAGAGGGCAACACACCCACCAGCTGACCTGCATGGCAAGAGGGCTGAAGCTGCAGGGGCACTGGATGGGATTGAAGTGAAGGATGAGGAGTCCTCTGATGGCTGGCATGAGGTGAAGCCCAAGGGAAGAAAGCAAAAGAAGTGAGGGAGTTTCACCCACTTTAGGCCCTGCAAAAAGGGCTTGGCCAGCATTGGGTCCTGCAAAAGGGCTGGCATCAGCTGTCTTGAAAAAGGGCACCCAAAACAGAGCACAGCAAACATGCCCTTCTGGAAAATATGCCATCAGCTTGGGTTGGGCTTGGTTTGGAAAAGCAAAAACCTCATATGAGCTCATATGAGATCATATGAGGTGAAGGCACCTCATATGAGGCAAAAACTGTCTCATATGAGGCAAGACTACCTCATATGAGGGCAGCTTGCCTCATATGAGCTCATATGAGATCATATGAGGCTAGTGTCTTTCCTCCACTTTCTGGTGAAAACTTGCCTCCCAACAAAATGCTGCCATGAGAGTGTTGCCACTGCCATATTTCATGGCCACCACTGAGGAAACTTCTGTTCAGCAGCATTTAGGCTTGGAGACACCCAAAACAAACTGGTAGATTGGGCCTTGCCAAAGGGCTCTTTGGCAAGGTTTTTTTGGCCTTGAGAGAGGGCTACCCAAGATGGCACCCAAAAAGGTCATGAAGGTGCTGAACTTGAAGTTAAAAAGGCCTGCAAGTGCCTTAGACCAGCTGAAGAAAGATGAAGGAGAGGGAATGAGCTTGGAAGACAAGATGGCTGCCTTTCAGAAGAAAGGCAACCAGGATGTGGGGCAGTTCCTGGACACCCTGACAAAAGGTCAGAGGGAAGCACTGTGGCAGAGGTTCTCCTCTGCCAGAGCCAGCATGAAGGACAAGGAGTGTGATAACCTATGGCAGGAAGTGGCCAAAGGAAAAGGCAGTGACCCAGCAAAGAAGAAGCTTTTGGGCTGCTTCTTGAAGCTGGGAGGAGACCTGAAGGGGAAAAGGGAGGTGTACCTCCAGGAGCTGGTGTCTTACACCAAAAGCTCTGGTGCCTTGGTTGCTTGTGGCTGCTCCTTCCACCTGGCTGGGTCTGTGCTTCTGCACCCTGCAATGTTTTTTCTAAGGTGAAAGGAGCTCAGAGGAGTGGGTGCCTTTTGCTGTGGTGCTGCAGCGGTTTGGCCTCCATGAGTGCATGAGAAGGGCAGCTTGGCATGTTTAAGGTTTGTGCTGAAAGCTGGTGCAAACATGTTTTTTTTGGTGAAATTAGCTTGCCTTGTCAGGTAAAGAGAGGCAGCATAGGTGTCAGAAAAGACCCTGCTGACCCTGCTGAGTGGCAGTTCACCTTGCGGAAAATAATCACATGGACTGAAGAGAAAAGCCAGCATGAACTAAAAGGTGAAGCAAAGGCCAAAGGAGAAGCCTGTCAGTGGCTGGAGCTCAAAGCCCAAGGCCTTCTGGCAGATGGGGAAGGGCCTGCTGCAAGCTCCAAGGCTGCCAAAGCTTTGGAGGATGTGCTGAGCAAAGACAAAAGCAAGTTGGCAATCATGGACAAGCAGTCTGGGCAAGCAAGTGAAGAAGAGGCAGCAGCCAGCCCTAAGAAAGATGAGGATGATCAGGTGGTGGAAGCTGACCTTCTCTCTGAGATGGGAAGCAAAGTTGCTAAGGAAGAGGCCCAAGTGAGGGTGAAGAGAATGATGAAGCTCCTGAAAGGAGTGAAGAAGGAGGTTGGTGCAGCAAAGGCTAAGTCTTTGGACCTGTGCCTGGCTGACCTTCAGAAGCTGGACAAGAAAGGGAAAAAGGTCAGCCTGGAAGAAGCCAAAGGGAAGCTGTTTGATGCTGCCCTGCAGATCAAGAAGGCCAAGAGGAAGTGAGTTATTATTTTTGGGTGGCCTTGCAAAAGGGCTAAGATATTGTTAGCTTGGTCTTGTGCAAGGGCCTGACAAAGAGTCAGTGTTGGCCTTGCCAAAGGGCTATGTTTGGTAGTTCTGCCAGAAGGCGCATGACCATGTGGCACATGACAGCAGGCATGAGAAGGTAAAAAATGCTTCCACCTCACCTTTGCCTTGTAAAGCTGTGGGCCCAAAGCCATGGGCTACTGTTGCATGGCCAAGCTTTAGCACATGGAACACACTTGCTTGTTTGTGGTAAGCTTTTGGCTTCAAGATGGCCCCTTCCCTAGAAGCTTTTGTTGGGCAGTGGCTTTTGTGGGTCTTGCAAAAGGGCCTGGGTTAGCCTGCTGGCCCTGAACAAGGGCTTGGGGAATATGGCCAAATGGAAGAGAAAGAAGCATGATGTCCCTGAGGAGCCCACTGCAGAGGAGCATTTGAGCCCTCTTGGCCTAGCACTTCTGGAGCAATTTGCACATGGGATGTCTGTTTCTAGTCTTGGCTTAATTTGTCCCATGATGCAGTCGCAGAAACCTTCAGCTGCCCACTCCCTTTTGACACCAGCATTTTGCCACACTGTTGTGGATGAACCTGTTGCCATCTAAGGGCCCTTCTGTTCAACACCTTGCTTTGGCTGCTGTGAAGTCTGGTGCTGCAACAGATGACATCCAAGTCTTGGCCAGCCTGGGAAACTTTGGCAGGAATGAAAACCATGTGGCAGGACAAATCACTTCAAGGTTTTGCAAAAATGATTCCTTGGACCTCCCTGTGCCTTACTGCTTTGAAGCTCCAGTCTTGAAGAAAGGCACAGACAGCTGGTACCTAGCAAATCAGACTTTGGCAGTGTTCTTGCCCCATGAGTGGTTCTCTTGGGTGGAACATCATGACAATGTTTCTGGCTTTTCTGGGTTGCAGAGCTTTTGGGATGAGCATGATGCTGCTGATCCAAAGCTGTGCAAGAATCCCATGAAGGGCAGCAGGCACCTGTACCTGCCTCTGGTCATTCATGGGGATGGTGGTCAATTTCAAAAGTGGGATTCAATCACTATCATCTCAATGAGATCACTCCTATCAGCTGACAATGTTGCATCCAGCCAAATGCTCCTAGCAGCTATCCCCAAGGGCTGCCAGCACAAGAGTGAAAACCCAGATGAAGACACCATGACAGTGGTTTGGAAAGTGCTTGCTTGGTCATTCCAGCATCTCTATTATGGCAAATTTCCAGAATTTGACCATTTGGGGAAACCATGGCCTGCAAAAAACAAAGAGGGCAGACCAAAGTGGCTCCCATCTGTGGACACAGAGGGTCAGAGGCTGCTTGTTCTATGTCACTGCAGATGGGGAGTTCCTGCAAAATGAACTCAAGCTGCCTGGGCACAGCCACAACTCCTGCTGCTTTTCTTGCCAAGCAAACAAGAGCGACATACCTCACAATGACTTTAGAGCTACAGCAAAGTGGAGATCTACCTTGACCAAGCCTGGGACACCTCTTCCTGGTGGCCACCCTCTTGGTGCAGTACCTGGCCTGAATACATTCAGTGTCCACTATGATACTTTGCACTGCCTGGAAGAAGGGGTAGCAGCACATGCCCTGGCCAACACCTTCTTTGACCTAGTTGTGAGAGGCCATGCTGGAGCTGGGACCCAGGATCAAAACCTCCAGGCTGTCTACAGGCAGATGAGGCAACAGTACTTGGAACAAGGCATAGATGCCAGCCACAGGATTAAAAAATTGAGCCTCACAAATTTTTCAGCCAGGGAGAAGAAGTATGAAAAGTTTCCTGATTTAACAGGATTCAAGGCAAAGCAGATTCGCTACCTTGTGCCTGTGATGGCAGAGATTCCGCAGTTCTACACTGATGAGGATGATGCCTATAGCCTCCATAGGCTCCAATGCTTACAGAACTTGAACAGCATGTATGAGCTCATGGACTGTGGCCTTCACATGGGCAAGGAGAGCATCTTGCAGTTCAAAAAAGTTACAGACCTGTGTCTTCTTCACTTTGCAAGGTGTGCAAAGCTGGCTATGGAAGCTGGGTTGCTCCAATGGAACCTGATCCACAAGCACCACCTTGTTGCCCACATGCCTGCTCAAGCTGCCTATTTGAACCCAAAGCTGGTCTCAACATACTCAGGTGAAACAATGGTGGGATTTATGGCCAGCCTGGCCCATGCCTGTCTGAATGGAAGTCCTCCCCACTTGGTACCTGAAAAAGTCCTGTGGAGGTTCAGGTTGGGAATGTGGCTGAAATACATCCATGGATCAGAAACTTTGGAGTCTGAGAGCAGCAGTGGTGAGTAGAAGTTGTGTAAAAAAGCTTTGGGCCTTGGGAAAGGGCTCCACCCTGGCCCTGCAAAAGGGCTTCAAAGTCCTGCCAAAGGGCTGCAGCCCACTAGCTTGGGGACCAAGATTTGCACAGTCAAAGGGGAAAAGTGCAGCTGAACTGAAGATGTTTCAGCATGTCAGTTTGACACCCATGTGCAGAGCTTCAAACATGTCAGCTTAGCAGCTCTATGAATCTAATGACTCGAACCATTAAACTTATTGAAATGGAGCTTATTGAAATAGGATTCCATTTCAATAAGCTTTATTGGTTCATTTCAATAAAGTTATTGAAACACTAACCAATAAGAAAATGAAGGTTTTATTGGTTTGTGTTGTGATTATTGAAATTGACGTGAATTATTGAATCTTTTCAATAAGGCGTACTCTGGGTCCGGCACAAGTAAAATCGCAATTTTTCCTCAGTTTTTGACGATCGACCCTCATTTCGTGCGAAAGGGTTGCTCCGGCACAAGTAAAATCGCAATTTTACCTCAGTTTTTGACGATCGACCCTCATTTCGTGCGAAAGGGTTGCTCCGGCACAAGTAAAATCGCAATTTTCCCTCAGTTTTTGACGATCGACCCTCATTTCTCTTCGGTGCTCCGGGACAGCCAAAAATCTTAATTTTTTTTTTTCCTTTTCCTTTTTCCTCCTCAGTTTTTTTTTTTTTTTTTTTTTTTTTTTTTTGTGTTTTTTTTTTTTTTGTTGCCGATTTCTGAGTTTTTTTTGTGGCCGATCGACCCTCATTTCGTGCGAAAGGGTTGCTCCAGCACAAGTCAAATCGCAATTTTACCTCAGTTTTTGCCGATCGACCCTCATTTCGTGCGAAAGAGTTGCTCCGGGACAAGTCAAATCGCAATTTTACCTCAGTTTTTGCCGATCGACCCTCATTTCGTGCGAAAGGGTTGCTCCAGGACAAGTCAAATCGCAATTTTACTTCAGTTTTTGCCGATCGACCCTCATTTCGTGCGAAAGGGTTGACGTTTCGTGACTCGCCGCCGGCACCACCCTCGGCCTTAAGAGAGAAAGATAAAAAGAAGGCGTGAGAGAGAAGGTGAGCAGGTGTGAAGATAAGAAGATGTGAAGGTGAGCAGATGTGAAGATGAGCAGATGTGAAGATGAGCAGATGTGAAGATGAGCAGATGTGAAGATGAGCAGATGTGAAGATGAGAAGATGTGAAGATGGGAAGGTGTGAAGATGAGCAGATGTGGAGATGGGAAGGTGTGAAGATGAGCAGATGTGAAGATGAGCAGATCTGAAGATGAGAAGATGTGAAGATGGGAAGGTGTGAAGATGAGCAGATGTGAAGATGGGAAGGTGTGAAGAGAAGCAGATGTGAAGATGAGCAGATGTGAAGATGAGAAGATGTGAAGATGGGAAGGTGTGAAGATGAGCAGATGTGAAGATGGGAAGGTGTGAAGATGAGCAGATGTGAAGATAAGAGGATGTGAAGATGAGAGGATGTGAAGATGAGCGGATGTGAAGATGAGAGGATGTGAAGATGAGAGGATGTAAAGATGAAAAGATGTGAAGATGAGAGGATGTGAAGATGAGAGGATGTGAAGATGAGAGGATGTAAAGATGAAAAGATGTGAAGATGAGAGGATGTGAAGATGAGAGGATGTGAAGATGAAAAGATGTGAAGATGATGAGAAGATGTGAAGATGAGAGAATGTGAAGATGAGATGTGAAGATGAGATGTGAAGATGAGAAGATGTTTTACAGACCCCCACTATTGGAAGAACCCTGCGCTCAGACGCTCTCGGGAAAAAGTTCAATATTTTATTGAAAAAAACGATAATTATTGTTTGTTTTTTTAATTGAAAACAAAAACAATAATTATTGAAAAATGAATTCTTAAGGACTTTTTGTAGATATATTATTTCGAGATACCTGCAGCCATGTTCAATCACAAGACTTCCTTGGAGCATTAATTAGAAAAAGAGTGCTTGGCTGACTGAAGCTGTGTTGAAGGGGATGTGCATCCAGTTTCATGTATATATAGTCTGAAGATTCTGAAGATCTATGTATGGCAATTGGTTTCTGCAGCCCTTTCTTTGGCTCAATTTTTTTTGCAAATTCTGAGGCTTGAAAAAAAGCCATGGAGAAAGACAGGACAAAGCAGAGACAAAGCAGAGACAAAGCAGCAAGTCTGGAAAAAGGCGATGGGAAAAGAGGCCTGGAAAAAAGCCAATGCATCCAAGGCGGAGCTATCAGGAAGCCTAGCTTGGACATGAAAGAGGAAGAATTGTCTCAAGCCCAACTTGCCTTTGTGAAGCCAGAATCCTTCACAAACTTGACTTTGTGAAGGCAGAGTTCTTCACAAACTTGACTCTGTGAAGGCAGGATCCTTCACAAACTTGACTTTGTGAAGGCAGAATCCTTCACAAACTTGACTTTGTGAAGGCAGAATCCTTCACAAACTTGACTTTGTGAAGCCAGAATCCTTCACAAACTGGACTTTGTGAAGGCAGAATCCTTCACAAACTTGACTTTGTGAAGGCAGAACCCTGCACAAACTTGACTTTGTGAAGCCAGATTCCTTCACAAACTGGACTTTGTGAAGGCATAATCCTTCACAAACTTGACTTTGTGAAGGCAGAATTCTGCACAAACTTGACTTTGTGAAGCCAGATTCCTTCACAAACTGGACTTTGTGAAGGCAGAATCCTTCACAAACTTGACTTTGTGAAGGCAGAATCCTTCACAAACTTGACTTTGTGAAGGCAGAGTTCTTCACAAACTTGACTTTGTGAAGGCAGGATCCTTCACAAACTTGACTTTGTGAAGGCAGAATCCTTCACAAACTTGACTTTGTGAAGGCAGAATCCTTCACAAACTTGACTTTGTGAAGGCAAAATCCTTCACAAACTTGACTTTGTGAAGGCAGAATTCTTCACAAACTTGACTTTGTGAAGGCAGAATCCTTCACAAACTTGACTTTGTGAAGGCAGGATCCTTCACAAACTGGACTTTGTGAAGGCAGAATCCTTCACAAACTTGACTTTGTGAAGGAAGGATCCTTCACAAACTGGACTTTGTGAAGGCAGAATCCTTCACAAACTTGACTTTGTGAAGGCATAATCCTTCACAAACTTGACTTTGTGAAGGCAGAATTCTTCACAAACTTGACTTTGTGAAGGCAGAATCCTTCACAAACTTGACTTTGTGAAGGCAGAATTCTTCACAAACTTGAATTCTTCACAAACTGGACTTTGTGAAGGCAGAATCCTTCACAAACTGGACTTTGTGAAGGCAGAATCCTTCACAAACTTGACTTTGTGAAGGCAGAATCCTTCACAAACTTGACTTTGTGAAGGCAGAATTCTTCACAAACTTGACTTTGTGAAGGCAGAATTCTGTACAAACTTGACTTTGTGAAGGCAGAATTCTTCACAAACTTGACTTTTTGAAGGCAGAATTCTTCACAAACTTGACTTTGTGAAGGCAGAATCCTTCACAAACTGGACTTTGTGAAGGCAGAATCCTTCACAAACTTGACTTTGTGAAGGCAGAATCCTTCACAAACTGGACTTTGTGAAGGCAGAATCCTTCACAAACTTGACTTTGTGAAGGCAAAACCCTTCACAAACTGTACTTTGTGAAGAATTTTGCCTTCACAAACTTGACTTTGTGAAGGCAGAATTCTTCACAAACTGGACTTTGTGAAGGCAGAATTCTTCACAAACTTGACTTTGTGAAGGCAGAATCCTTCACAAACTTGACTTTGTGAAGGCAGAATCCTTCACAAACTGGACTTTGTGAAGGCAGAGTTCTTCACAAACTTGACTTTGTGAAGGCAGAATCCTTCACAAACTGGACTTTGTGAAGGCAGAATCCTTCACAAAGTTGACTTTGTGAAGGCAGAATCCTTCACAAACTTGACTTTGTGAAGGCAGAATCCTTCACAAACTTGGCTTTGTGAAGGCAGAATCCTTCACAAACTTGACTTTGTGAAGGCAAAATCCTTCACAAACTTGACTTTGTGAAGGCATGATCCTTCACAAACTTGACTTTGTGAATGCAGAATCCTGCACAAACTTGACTTTGTGAAGGCAGAATCCTTCACAAATTTCACAAACTTGACTTTGTGAAGGCAGAATCCTTCACAAACTTGACTTTGTGAAGGCAGAATCCTTCACAAACTTGACTTTGTGAAGGCAGAATCCTTCACACACTTGACTTGTGAAGGCAGAATTCTTCACAAACTGGACTTTGTGAAGGCAGAATCCTTCACAAACTTGACTTTGTGAAGGCAAAATCCTCACAAACTTGACTTTGTGAAGGCAGAATCCTTCACAAACTTGACTTTGTGAAGGCAGAATCCTTCACAAACTTGACTTTGTGAAGGCAGGATCCTTCACAAACTGGACTTTGTGAAGGCAGAATCCTTCACAAACTTGACTTTGTGAAGGCAGAATCCTTCACAAACTTGACTTTGTGAAGGCAAAATCCTTCACAAACTTGACTTGTGAAGGCAGAATCCTTCACAAACTTGACTTTGTGAAGGCAGAATCCTTCACAAACTTGGCTTTGTGAAGGCAGAATCCTTCACAAACTTGACTTTGTGAAGGCAGAATTCTTCACAAACTTGACTTTGTGAAGGCAGAATCCTTCACAAACTTGACTTTGTGAAGGCAGAATTCTTCACAAACTTGACTTTGTGAAGGCAGAATTCTTCACAAACTTGACTTTGTGAAGGCAGAATTCTTCACAAACTTGACTTTGTGAAGGCAGAATCCTTCACAAACTTGACTTTGTGAAGGCAAAATCCTTCACAAACTTGACTTTGTGAAGGCAGAATCCTTCACAAACTGGACTTTGTGAAGGCAGAATTCTTCACAAACTGGACGGTGTGAAGGCAAAATCCTTCACAAACTTGACTTTGTGAAGGCAGAATCTTTCACAAACTTGACTTTGTGAAGGCAGGATCCTTCACAGACTTGACTTTGTGAAGGCAAAATCCTTCACAAAC